AAAAGCTAGTCAGGCTTTTCTTTTAAAAATGTGTTCCAAAGCTTAGTGATAGCTTGCATGACAGAATTAACACTTTGAAAGAATTCGTGTTAGTACTTCATTTCATGAACATTACAACAAAATACATATCAAACAAAATTATTACACTGCTGGAACTGCTAACCTGGTGCCAAGATAACATCCCTTCTATCCAGTTCTTATTTTGAACAAATGAGGAATACAGAACAAGAAGAAATGTTCCTAAAACGACGCTTTGAAAGAATGAAAGTTATCAAGGGAACGCAAGGATTTCATTGCATTGTTCCATCTACATCCAGTCCAACAGAAATTGTGACCAAGGTGTACAAAATATTAAGAAAACTGGATGATATGCAAGTATAATGGTACCTTGGTTTGCAACTGCTTTGGATTACAGTGGTACCTCGGGTTACATACGCTTCAGGTTACATGCGCTTCAGGCTACAGACTCCGCTAACCCAGAAATAGTACCTCGGGTTAAGAACTTTGCTTCAGGATGAGAACAGAAATTGTGCTCTGGCAGCGTGGCAGCAGCAGGAGGCCCCATTAGCTAAAGTGGTGCTTCAGGTTAAGAAGAGTTTCAGATTAAGAACGGACCTCTGGAATGAATTAAGTACTTAACCCGAGGTACCACTGTACAACCGTTTTGGATTACAACCACGTCAAACCCGGAAATACGTGTCCCTTTTTTTGGGATTACAACCCCTCTTTTTTGGATTAAAACCCATTTTTTGGGGAGGCCCCATTGGCGATAGCTTGCCTTGGGTTGCAACCTGTTTTGGTTTACAACCGGACCTCCGGAACGGATTATGGTTGTAAACCAAGGTACCACTGTAGATAAATAGGTACTGTGGCGGGAAGGTGAATGGCGTTTCCGTGCACTCTGGTTTCCGTCACGGTGCTCGGTTGCTCCAGAAGCGGTTTAGTCATGCTGGTCTCATGACCCGGAAAGCTGTCTGCAGACAAACACTGGCTCCCTCAGCCTGAAGTGAGATGAGCGCTGCAACTCCATAGTCGCCTTTGACTGGACATAACCATCCAGTGGTCCTTTACCTTTACCTTACTTCCCCTCGCCTTGGGAGGAACTAGATCATCAAGCCTTTGTACTTTCCAGGCTACCTGAGAAGCTCAATGTGACGAGGTTTGAGCTAATTGCTCCAGCTCAAAGTGCATAGCTCTCACCAGTCACTCAAGTTCCTAAACCAATCATTTAGGAACTTTCACCACCAAGCTCAGTTCTACTGCCTGTGAAACCTTTTCTGAAACATATGAATCTGGCCTTTGAACAGTTTGTAAGTAAGCCATTTTTAACTTACCAAAGGTGTGGTCTTCTCCTAAGCTGGGGAAGAGGCAAATTTTGGAAAGCCACATTTTAAGAGGACATTTTGGAACTCACTTAAGGTAAAGGTAAAGGGACCCCTGACCATTAGGTCCAGTCGTGACCGACTCTGGGGTTGCGGCGCTCATCTCGCTTTATTGGCCGAGTGAGCTGGTATACAGCTTCCAGGTCATGTGGCCAGCATGACTAAGCCGCTTCTGGCGAACCAGAGCAGCACACGGAAACGCTGTTTACCTTCCCGCCAGAGCGGTACCTATTTATCTACTTGCACTTTGACGTGCTTTTGAACTGCTAGGTTGGCAGGAGCAGGGACCAAGCAACAGGAGCTCACCCCGTTGCGGGGATTCGAACCGCTGACCTTCTGATCGGCAAGTCCTAGGCTCAGTGGTTTAACCCACAGCGCCACCTGCGTCCCTCTAGGAACTCACTTAGAAGGGCCTATTTTAAAGGTCTAACAGCTTATATTTCCATGCTTTACTTTGCTGCATATTTTGACACAGTACTTGTCCCCAGTTTGGATTTTGGCATCCAGGAATTCTCATCAGGTCAAAAGTCAAGGGAGACTAGTAAAGTGAAAAGGGCGAGGAAGGGAGATCAGGATATTCTAGGGAACACTGAAAGGTGCTCAGGTAATGCTTTGACATGTGCCACCTCAGATAAACTATTCTGCAGTGTCACCTGACTTTTAAGATGTGACTGTTGCATCATTTCTTTGTTCTTTTTCCTTTGCTTTCTACCTACCACCTGGGGCCTTTTAATCTGTTGACCTCATATTTATTAGTTATACTACAGCTTGGGACCAATTCCTGTTTATGACCACATTTGCCATTATTTGTTTTTTGCTGTTCATTAATGTTTTCGCCCAGGCTTTTGGCAGGGGGATGAGTAAATTATCTGCAGGCTACTGCTGAAGAGCTGCTGTAATCTTATCCACACGATACATTTAAACCACACTTGTGCCACTACTAACAGTCAGGGAGAATCCTGGGAACTGTAGCTTTTAAGGATGCTCAGCTACCATTCCCAGCCCCCTGAACAAACTACAGTTCCCAGAAACCTCCGAGATTGTTGAAGTGGCATAATAGTGCTTTATAAATATATGGTGTGTGCAGGTGACCATTCTATGTATTGGTATTTGCTGTATGCTAGAGGATAGCAGTTATTTACATTTTATTGTATATTGTATAAAAGACGTAACCAGTTCTGCAATCAACGGAACTGATGAAGGGCAGGATATAAACTGAACAACTAAATTAAACAAATAAACACAATAAACACAACCACCAGACAATGCAGATGTCTGCATCACAGCACTTGTTCCAAGGATGCTTTGTTCTAAGCATCAATAGGGGCAAACCTGTCAAGCGATCAATTTATCATCTGATAATGCCTCTGTCAACGGTTCAGTTTCCTACAATGCCTTCTGCAAGGACACAGGTGCAAGGAGAACAGAACACACAGGGGCCTCATGCTTCTTGTCCCCACACTTCATTATTTCATCTACAATATATATTTTGTGACATATTTCAGTTGGAGTTCATGGGTGGGGTGGGGTGGAAATCTATTTGGGGTAAGTCAGAGGGTTGCAAAAACAAGGCAATCCCAATTAGCGCTCTATCTCACTAGGAATGACACTTGTAATTCCAGTTTCCCTCACATGTGAGTCAATTTTGAGGCTACTTACCTGATAGCTTTATCTTTTAGGTGCCTAACATTGCTATTCAGGAAAGGAAATAAGGCTATGGGTTTGCCCCAGCATTGGGCATCCTCTTTGCATATAGCCATTGGAATTAGATTGCTTGCGCATTAATGCAGAAGCACAGTTTTAAACACACTGAAGCACTCTAAATTTGCTAGGTAGTCTAGCAGCTGCTGGATTCCATTCCATTGGGAGGAATGGCAGCCCCTTCCCTTCTTTTTACAGATTTAAGTATCCACTTAGGAGCATATATCAAGTAGACAATTTTGGCAGGAATTCTATGCTGCTTTAAAAAAAACGCTGAAGCATAGATTTATCAGGCCAAATTCACTCATATTTCAATGTCTTGTTTCATAGCTTTGGGGAAACCTGAAAACCATGTTTTTAAAAGTGTGGTCTGAATTATGATTGCCTTCTCTTTCTTCTCTTTTTCCTTAGCAACAGATACTTGGGCTGGGGCCAGAGCCCAGCACCTCTGGGATATAGAGGCGCAGCAGAGGATTTAAGAGAAGGGATGCAAAAGGTTTGGAAGAGTAAATGGAGAGGGAAGAAAGGGAGAAGCACGGCATGAGTAGCAGCAGTGGGTGATTTGGGCAAGACCTGATAAATAACCAGGTTAATAGCAGGCAGCAACACTAAGATATGGGGTATGGAGAGGAGACAAAAAGGTGGAACAAGGAGAAAACAACCGAAGAAGGGACAGGCTTTCGCTAGATCGCCCTCTGGGCTTGGAGTCAATCCTGCGGCTGCTTATACCTCACCTATGCACAACAAACGTCAAGGGCCGAATCAGTGAGATGGGCAACGTTTGAAACATAACTACGCAGGAGCATTATCATACACCAAGCTGTTGAGACCCTGTTTCCCCAAATGCAGCTGTTGTCATTTGAATCACACCAACATAACTCAATGGGGGGAAATGGCAGCATGTTGGCATAGCCAAAATGGCCACCATCATGTTGGAGAGGCTTTTCACGCCAACAGCTTGCTGTGTGGACGTGCCATCACATGGGTTACAAATAAACCATAAAACTGAAAGTATCACTTGTCCCTGCAATACCTATTTGTGTGTTTCCATCACTACAAACACTCACGAGTTTGACAAGTAAAAGCTTGGAGGGGAAAGCCTGTCCACTTTCTATTGTCTGTAATTCACTATCTTCACATGATATAGACAGGAAAGCTAACAGTGTGGCTTTAAAATGTATAAATAGACTAGCGGATTCTAAACAATCCCCATACCCCGATCAACTGCAGAAGCCCTTTATGCTATATCCCTTTCTGTCCCAGAGGATCTCACAATCCTCAGGAGATAGAAGTCTGCATAGGAGGATTTTAGAAATATCAGATACCCCGTCTTGTGGAAGTGTTTCCATTAGCAGAAAGCCAGAATTGGATGCAATCCTATGTATTACTGCAGCACCGCTTTGCCTATTGAGGATTATTGATTGTCAATTCCGTAACAGTTCAAAGCTCCACCCTAAAAATACTTATCAGTCCCACAGAACTCAAAGGCACATTTTGAAAATAAATGTGATTAGGATTGAGCTGCCGCAATTTACATATAAATGCAAAGCAGAAAGTACCAGGGAAAAAAGCTCCGAGTTTTAAAACAACAATTTTGTGTAGCAACTGGACAGAATCAGTAACGCTGTCATTTGATCATTATTAACAGGCTAGCTGAACTTTCTTTAGTTTTATCACAGCCATTTTATATGACCAAAAGAATTAAACTTTTCGTAAGGTGAGTTATTGCATCGCTAAAGGGTAGAAAGTCCCGCTATAAAGATAAAAACTTAAGCTCGGCAAAATTTGCAATCTCAGCTGCATTCCTTGAAGCCAACTGATCTACTGGCCTAAACTTCACTCTTTGCAAGGATTTACTCAAGCGCATACCATTTTGCCTTCCCACACACCCACAACATACAAACGAAGCATCTGTACCTGTTTCATCTGGGGAACTCGGAGATGCACTATCCTGAGACAGTGTTGTCCAACTAGAGTCTTCGTCGCTCGGAGCCAGGTTCTGAATCCTATGCAGCGCACAGTCTGTTTTGGCACCAGTTTTAGGATGATCCTTTTTCGTTTCTGGGCTCGACGATACGGTCGCTACCTGTCCATCTTCCGGACTCGCTGGCTTGTTTTGTTTCCGAAGCAAGGCGTCCCCGTTAACAATCACTGTGGATGCTTGGCTATTGCACTGCGAGGACAGTTTCTCCTCCCCTGCCACTTGGCTGTTCCCCAAATTCTGCTCAACGTCCCTTGCCGATGTCTCGAGATCTGCATAGTAATTTAGGAAGCTCTTGGTTCTCCGGCGTTGCGTGGGTAGTATTTCGCTGCCTGAGGAATCCTCCTGGTTTGGCTCTTTCCCCTCCAACTTCTCAGAAGTTATGTTGATGCCTGCGGTAGTGGTAGGAGCGGTCAGGTTCTTGTTAGGATCCTGCTGCCCCTGCTCCGCAGCTTTCCTAAGCTGGTTCTCCCCATTCTTCACCAGCTTTATGTTGGAAGAATTGTTGCCCAGCAGGGGCTGAGCAGCAGGATCAGAAAGGCCCATGGCTGTCTGGATGTTAGTCAGTGCGTATTTTTTCCTGCATTTTGGAGGGGTGCTGTTCTTGACTTCTGTGTGCTTGATTTCGGCATTCAGCAGCTCGTTGTGAGAGGAGCGCAGGTGGAGCGTGTTGGGCGGAGTGGCAGGACCATTCCGATTCACAATGTCCGTCGCGCTGTTGCTTGCCATAAACCCTGCCAAGGTTTCCACACCGGAGTCAACTAGGGAAGGAGCAGAAACAAACACTCATGAGGTATCCTTAAGCATAATAATTAACAGGTGTTAAGTGTGCTTGGAAACAGGATTGAAAAGCCTGCATGCATATCCACCCATGAAATAAGCCTTGAATTTTATGGAAGGTTGCAGATAACCGGAGGGTTTTAGTGTGCTCATTCAATACAGCTCTCCTGCATGGTCGCTAGGCACAACCAGGTATGCCAATCTCCCCAAAGCTTCATACAACTGAGCAGGGAAATTGAAAGGTTTATGCCAGGGGTGGGAAACTTGTGGCTCCAGATGTTGTTTGGACAACAGCTCTCTTCATCCCTGACCATTGGCCATGCTGGCTGGGATTGGTGGGAGCTGGGAGTCCTGGCACACCACATCTGGAGGCCCAGAAGGTTCCCTCCCCTGGTTCATGCATTGTACATAGGGGAAGAACATGGCAAAATCTCATCGTAGCCTTTTTGATTTCTGCTTTTTTACCCAGTTTTGCAGTGTAACAATACTAAAATAAGAGTGCATTGGTGGGGACTGACAGGGCACTGGGTGTATTTAAGAACAATATATGGCCTTTTAAATTGGGGAGAGCTGGTATTGATTTTGTCTGTCGCTATGGTATGTATTTTTGTGTTTTTATATTGTAAACCACCCTGTGATCCTCTGATGAAGGGCAGAATAGAAAGAGGGTTCTTGGTAGGCCCTCAGAACTTTTCTTTTATCATTACCGTATTTTTCGCCCCATAGGACGCATCAAGTTTTTTGGGGGGAAATAAAGGGGAAAAAATTTATTTCCCCCCAGGCGCTTGTGGGGCCGGCAGCGGGGAGAAGCGCTCTTCTCCCCGCAGCCCGCCTTCAGACCAGGTCCGGGGACAGCGGGGAGACGTGCTGCGCCTCCCAGCTGTCCCCGGAGCTTGTGGGGCAGGCAGCGGGGAGAAGCGCTCTTCTCCCCGCTGCCCGCCTTCAGGCCAGGTCCGGGGACAGCGGGGAGATGCGCTGCGCCTCCCTGCTGTCCCCGGAGCTTGCGGGGCAGGCAGCGGGGAGAAGCGCTCTTCTCCCCGCCGCCCGCCTTCAGACCAGGCCGGGGACAGCGGGAAGACGCGCTGCGCCTCCCCGCTGTCCCCGGAGCTTGTGGGGCTGGCGGCGGGGTCTCCCCGCCGTCAGCCTCCAAACCACTTCGGGAGACAGTGGGATGGCGGCGTTCCGCCTCCCTCTGTCCCCCGACCTTGTGGGGCTGACGCTGGGGCTCTCCTGAAGCCTGGAGAGCGAGAGGGGTCGGTGCGCACCGACCCCTCTCGCTCTCCAGGCTTCAGCGAAAGCCTGCATTTGCCCCATAGGACGCACACACATTTCCCCTTCATTTTTGGAGGGGAAAAAGTGCGTCCTATAGGGCAAAAAATACGGTATATTTAAGGGGAAAGCTTTGCTCAATCAGACTGAGGGTCCATTGAGAACCCTTTTTCCAAGAGTGGATGACCAGAGAAACCTACAAGAAGGGCATGAAAAGAAGTGTCTTCTGTCATTGTTTATCCCCAGACATTCAGAAGTATAACTTCCAGGACTGTGGAAGGCTGCATATAACATTCATGGTTCAAGAGCTGTTAACAGACCCATCCTCCACAGATTTGCCTAATTTCCCTTTAAAGGCACACAAACCACCACCACTGAGTGGTAATGCTTTGGCCAGCAGATTGCATGTGGAAGGGGACTGCTTTTCCTCACTCCGGACACTATCACTTTTTAAAATTAACGGTTGTTTCCCCCCCCCCCAATTCATCACAAATAAGGAAAAAGAGGTGGTAACTCTATAAAAATAGGAGTAACGTTTATAAAGTGGGGTGGGGGAGATATTAAGAAGGGAAGGAGAAGAAAGTGGGTTGTGGTGTTTCAGAAACACGAAATGGAAGAAGTGATGTATGCTAAATTGACAACTTCTGAGCATCAGTCATCAGAAAAAAAATTACCAAACGTCTTCATATTCGTCCTCTTAACACTCTCTGGGTGCTATTTGACTTTTCAGTTAAGGTACAAAAATCAGGACTGCCACTGACTTGGTCAATAGGATAGGAGCTTCAGTGGGATTTCAGTATCACTGAAGAACAAAACGGGGTATACTTGTTTTTCACATGGCACTGCAGATACACCACTGTTTTCACTGGAGTTTCCTACAGCAAACACACAGGGCTAAATCCTGTGTGAGACTTCAGTGGCTTTAGGAAGCGTGAATGGGAAACGTGAATCTCTTTCACATAATGGCCATGTGCCAGGAATTCAGCACCAATCCTAGCTTTCTCCAGTAGGTGTTTACGACATACAGTGGTACCTCGGGTTAAGTACTTAATTCGTTCCAGAGGTCCGTTCTTAACCTGAAACTGTTCTTAACCTGAAGCACCACTTTCACCACTTTAGCTAATGGGGCCTCCCGCTGCTGTCGCACCACCGGAGCACGATTTCTGTTCTCATCCTGAAGCAAAGTTCTTAACCTGAAGCACTATTTCTGGGTTAGCGGAGTCTGTAACCTGAAGCGTATGTAACCTGAAGCGTATGTAACCCGAGGTACCACTGTATCCCCAAGTATTTTGAGACGCATACTCTTCTTTCATACTTTGCTTGTCAAAACACTAATAAACCTGGGGTGCCATGCAAACATATGAAGAGGTTCTGGTTCTTGGGCTTCTGTTTGCTGAATAAGAAAAGAGATACCTATGTAGGGAAGTTTTTAATGTCTGATGTCTAATATTCGGTTCGAAGCTGCCCAGAGTGGCTGGGGAAACCCAGCCAGATGGGCGAGGTATAAATAATAAATTATTATATTAGTATATTACCTATGTGATTATAGAAATGTTTAATTAAAACAGAGGCAGGGACGGGCAAACACATCCAGCTGAATAAACAGTCTGGTGCTGGTCAGTCTGGAGATCATAGCTAGTGAGTGCTCTCCTGTTTGTCAAAACAGATTTGCATGAAGCAGATGGCTCATTCATTTTAGGGTTATGCAATGTTGAAAACAAGCGTGGGGGGGGGAGAGAAGCAAGAAAAATGCTAGACTGTCTGATCTGCTTGATAAAGTTTATGATTTCATGGACCTCTCCTTTGAAAAACCTTTGAGAATCACTTCAGCTGTCTACCCCTTTGTTTTCTCTTTCATTACAGCTTTGATACTGGGAAACTAATTCAGCATCAAGAGACACCCCAGTTGTCAAAGCCAATAATGGGGATGCTGTCTATATTCTCCTCCTCTCTACTTTGATTTCTCTGTTCCTCACTCTTTATCAGAACACACACACAACTTATTTAGCAAATTGACAGAATATTATGTCCTGCTGCACTGAGGAAATCACTGTATAATATACCAGGCTTCTATTCTTTAACACATCCATTGGATTTATTATGTTAGAAGGCACTGATACGTGGATGTTGTAAAAACTAAATTTCAGGCATTTAGGAACACAGGAACCTGCCTTTTACTGAGCCTGACCATTGATCTGTATAGCTAGTATTGTTCACACTGTCTGACAGGAGTATTTCCCAGGTGTACCAGAGATGACAGGGCTTGAATTCAGGATAATCTGCATGCAAAGTATGTGGTCTACCACAAACCTATGTCCCTTCCCACGTTCCACTGTGTAGCCGCAACTGGACTTCACTTGATCTAATGTACCGATTCAGCCCTATAAAGCTTCTTACACCTTTTCTACTTTGACTTCTTCCTTCTGGCATTACTGTGGACCTGAAAATGTACATATTGCCTGAAATGGATTTGTGCCAGTGGAATTAGTACCTCAAATGATAATTTAAGAACTGCCCTGTCTGTACATCTTGTACATGTACTTGTAACTTTTGTACATTGTTGGTTTTAGCCTTTCTGCATACATCCTACCACACGGTCCATATTTTCATCTGCAGAATATTGGGAAGCACGTTGGAAGGCTACAGGACATAGTGGGGCCATCGAGGCAGGACTTTGGGGGAGAAGTTCAGGACCCCCAAACAAATGGCAGCTGCCTACCATATTTTTAAAAATGTGAAGTGATACGTATTGCCATCTAAAGACACACACACGCTCTCAAAGACCATGAAGTCCAGAGTCTAATATCACCTAACTTCACCAATGCTAGGGCTGCTAATTTTCTTACCGCCTTGCACAGCTTAATAAAAAGATGGAAGCTTATATTTCTGTGTAGCAGTGCCTAGGGGTTCAAGATAATCAAGATTTATGGCCCGGAAAGACCCTGTATCAGTCAAGGGATTTCACCTTAGCACTGTGCTGTAGTCCACTTTCTGATTTTCTAAACCATTATTAACAAAAGAAAGCAATGACAAAACCCCACGTGCCCCTGAAAGACAAAGGTAGAGAAGGAGAAGAAAAATGAAAAAGTTTGGTGAGTTAAGGAGAAATCACCTGAGGCTGAACTCCGTAAAATCGACCCTATCTGAGGAGTAAATCATCTGTGCTGTGTAGCCCAAATCATATTCTAAAATGGATAGTTAGAGACACTGCTTTTTTTCACAGCAGAATTTCTCATCTTCCTTGCCCACTTCTGATTCAGCTGCAAGGAGAGCTGAGTGGACCACATGGAAACACAAAGAATAAAACCAGGAAGATGGTTCTCTTACCAAAGCTTAAAACCTAGCAAGTCAAAGAGATGCCTGAGGTGTACATTGTGCCTGACTCCGGCACATTCTTATTGATCCAAATTATGCTCCCGGGGCAGTGATCTTGCGAACCTCCTGACAGCATCCTCAAAATAAATGCTACATAAATTTGTGCTTCAAGGAGAATAATTCTGAGTGCCTTGACAGGAACTTTAGAGAGAGGTAGACAGGCCATTACTTACTCTCTCAGTACTGCTAATGAAAAACTAAAACAATTGAACAAATCAATGTTATTAAGTTAATAAGGACAGTATAGGTACAACTACTAGGGGTCAGCAAACTTTTTCAGCAGGGGGCCGGTCCACTGTCCTTCAGACCTTGTGCGGAGCCAGACTATATTTTTTGG